CTCGAAGAGAATGGAACTTGGACCATAGAAGACCTACCCAATGGGAAACGTGTTATAGACTCAAAATGGGTGTATAAAATCAAATTCAAACCAAACGGTGAAGTTGAAAGGTACAAAGCAAGACTCGTCGCCAAAGGATACACGCAAATGGAAGGGGTTGATTATCACGACACATTCGCACCGGTGGCTAAGTTGGTAACCGTAAGGAGTCTCATTGCTATCGCCGTMAAAAAGGAATGGAATATTCACCAACTAGATGTAAATAACGCCTTCTTGCATGGTGATTTGAACGAAGAAGTGTACATGAGAATCCCACAAGGCTACGACAAAGGGGGAGGAACAAAAGTGTGCCGGTTAAGAAAATCATTGTATGGCCTGAAACAGGCTTCGAGAAATTGGTATCAAAAGTTTACATCGGCTCTACTCCAACTTAACTACAAACAATCCGCTGCCGACCATTCCCTATTTATTTATAAAGAAGGGAAGATTTTCATTACCGCCCTCATATACGTCGACGACGTAATCATAGCGGGAAACGATGAGAACAAAATCCAAGAAACAAAGARCTTCCTTGACGACAAGTTTAGCATCAAGGACCTTGGCCCATTAAAGTATTTCCTCGGAATAGAAGCGGCACGAACAAAAGATGGCTTGGTGCTAAGCCAACGGAAATACACCCTTGATATCTTGGAAGATAGTGGAATGTTAGGGTGCAGACCATGCTCCTTTCCAATGGAGCAGAATCTGAAACTTGACAATAGAGAGGAGGACGTTCGTGTGGATGCAAGCGAGTACCGAAGATTGGTTGGGAAGTTACTCTATCTCCAAGCCACTAGACCCGATCTTGCCTACTCTGTAAATGTTCTAAGCCAATTTGTCTCGGACCCTCRACAAAGACATCTTGATGCCGCCATGAGAGTTCTTCGTTACCTAAAAGCAACACCCGGACAGGGTATATTTTTTCCGAAAGAAGGAGGTACCGAATTAGTCGCGTATTGTGATGCCGATTGGATGGGTTGCTCACTTACACGGAGATCGAGAACAGGATACCTTCTACTGTTGGGGGGAGCTCCCATTTCATGGAAATCAAAGAAACAGTCGGTTGTTTCTCGCTCCTCGGCCGAAGCCGAATATCGTGCCATGGCCACCACMACTAGTGAAATTTTGTGGATGCGATGGTTATTGAAAGGTCTTGAAACAGAACAACACGACTCTACCCCTCTCTACTGCGACAACGACGCAGCTCGCCATATCGCAAACAATCCCGTCTTCCATGAACGAACGAAGCACGTGGAGATGGATTGTCATTTTGTCAAAGAACGAGTTGAATCGTGTGAGATCAAACCTTTCTACGTTGACACGAAGACGCAAGTTGCCGATTTACTCACGAAAGCATTGGGTGCAAAACAACTCGAGTTTCTTCTTGCCAAGATGGGCATGCGAAATCTACATGCTCCACCTTGAGGGGGAGTATTGAAATGCATAATTTCCTGCATGATATTCTCTCCTTGTTTTCCTCTCAATCACGAGATACTGTGAATATTTTCTTGCTTTGTATATTGTTCCTTTTTTAAGAGTTTCCTTTCCTTGTAATTTGTATTGCCTATTTAGGCTTGTCTTCTTCATTGTTTTCAATATACAGAAAACTTCTGATCAAAAACCTTTACATTAATCTTTTCAAAGAACTTTAAGAGAAATAGCTGATTTATGAGCGTTATTCTATTTAGATCTACACTTGTGAAGTCATAAGCTTTCTAATCATTCTTCAACACTTTTATCTTCATGAAATTCAAATCAGCAAAATCTTTCAACTATTCTTTGACTTATCAGAATAAATATTCTTTGACTTTCGCCAATTGTAGCTTGTTTACCAATGCTTTCATTACCACCAAAATCTTTTCCAACACTTTGTTCACCAGCCCTATCCACATTCATATCATCAACTCCATAAACTTTATGGCTTTTTCCTTTATCCCCTAAAGATTATCAGGGCCCTCCTGATCATCATACTTTTTCTTTGTAACCTGACTTTGATCTTTGTACTGTAAATCTTTCAAGTCTTTTCTCACAAGTCTGACCAAATACTGTAAATCAATTACTTGAGCCTGCAAATTATCAACTTGAGTAGAAGTAACATACTTGTCAGCATTTGGACGTTTGTACATGTAAGATTTGGGTATTGCAGGGATGAGATTAATAACAAAACCAGAAATGTTTTAAGGAACTTAAGGTTGTGATTGTGATTGTGATTGTGATTGAGGTTGGGTTTGAGTTGACTGTGGTTGAGGTTTGGTAAGCTTTCTTGATAGTTCAAAATTTTTCAGCATGCAGGCCTGAAAAGAAATGAAATCCCTCTTGGAAATAGAATTTTCAAGAATAGTATAAAGAATACTCTTATTTTCTTTCTCCTGCTCTTTCAACTTTAATTTCTAACTCTCCTTGCGTCAAGAGTTTAAATCAATCAATTCTTTCAAGATTTTCATCAACCTTCTCATCCAATTTGTCCACCTTATTCTCCAACGATTTAGAATTTGATGTCTTAGCCATCAATTCATGGAGTTTTGTATGAATCTTTGTAAATTCAGACTTGTAGTAATCACTAAAGGTCTGAAACTCAGATTTAGCGACCAATATGGGTGGTAACCCGAAACCTACAAATGAGTCTGTCTACATACCCACATATATAGGATGGCCTGAAGATGGAACAAATCCATGTACAACATATGTACTTATTTGTGAAGCTTTTGAGATGTTCACTTCACCAGTTCTTCCATCCAATCCTTGACTATCCATGATAGGAGTGTCTATCAATGTTGCAGCAATATGATGAACAAACTGTGAAGTGAAGCCATAAAGGCTTGTGCTAGTGTCAATAATATTAGCATTTTATGCTATAAAAGGCTCAAAAGAGGGTGGAATCCCAACCTAATGTGGATGGAAGAAAAATGAGGTGGGACATATGTACCTCTTGTTTAACATTAACATCCTCCAAATCAGGAATTAATGGTTGATTAGTTGCATGCCCCAGTGAAAATGAAACACCACCTTGTTGAAAAAGGTGATGACTGGCTAGGGGGTTATAACAAGAGTTGACATGGGCATAGTGCATGTTTCAACAAAGGATGTGAAACATTAGGAGATGTGGGGGATTAAAGTGACTCTTGTGACTAATTGCCTAGGAGAGATGTATTTCCTGGGAGATATGTATTGCTTGAGGGCCTACTTTATGACTAACTGACGCATAGTGCCTGAGGGCCTACTTTATAACTAAGAGAGATGTGGTGCCTGAGAGCATACATTATGATTCACTGGGATGTAGTGCTTGAGAGCCTACTATATGACTACTGATTTAAAAGGTTATATATTAACTATTTTTATGGAATTGTTGCACCAACAGGGATTTACTCATTAGACCATATAGTATAACCATCATTTTGTTTTAAAAAAAATATGCATTTTAGGGCTGTAACAACTAGAAGATAAAGGAAAAGGAAAAAATGTGAGACCTTCTATATGGATTTTCTTAATGTGAAGCCTATTGAGGAGTTTTATGCAGTTTGATGTTGTGAATCTTTTGTACAGAGATCTTATTAGCAAAAAATTATGGTAGATTTTAGACAGTTATATAATTTTATAGAATAAGACCGAATGTGTATCCCCAATATATTTTGTTTTGTATAAATTCCATGTTATATGGAATTTTGGGTTATTACATATTGTTGTATAGGGTGGGGACCAAATTTGTAGTGGATGGGCATATAACCTTTTAAATTAGTTGAATAGGACAAAAAGTCAAATCAGACCAAAAAGATGAAAAAGCCGGTCATGTCACGTCACATCACATCATGTCAGGGGGTCACGTTGACAGGCGTCAAGGATGTCAGCGCATGTGGGTAGGCCTTCCGTTAGTTTGTAGACCATTTCGGGTCATCATTCGAGATTCATAGATTTTGTAGTTATTTCATGGAAATTAGATTTTTTTGGGTCCTTTTGTTAAATTGGATGTTCCATATATATGTGACAACAAATAAACTAACACACCATTCTTATTTTTGATAAAGTTTGATCCCTTGACCTTTTGTAAGGCCAAACGCTTAGATATTGTTAGATCAAAATTTGTTTTGTATATCAAGGATGTATTTGTGAGTAAAATAAATAGAGGAATTAATAAATATAAAACAAATCAAATATTATTTATCGTATTAAATACACGTTACTTTTATAAACTTTATAATAAATGTAGGGGGTATAATGAACGTTTTTTTTATAATGATAACTTCTCTAGATCTTTTTATGGGTAATAAAGTCATCAAAATACTTTTTAATTGTATCTTATATTAATATAAAAATAAAAAATTAATAAAAAAATTCATTTAATATTTTTTTATGAATTTAGAAATAAGTTTAAATTAGTCAAATAAGTTATAATTGTGAGAGTGTCAAACGTTCACGTCATGTTATGTGTGGTTCTTGTGAAAACGAGTTGTGATTGAGTCGCATATGGTGGCTATTCTTTCTGTTTTTATGAATTAAGGCAGACTTTCTGTTATAAAAACAACTTATTGATTTATTCCGGTGTGACATCGGTAATAATCGTTTTTGAGTATTTGGATAAACAGTTTATATTGGTGTCAAACCGGTAATAAGGAGTTTTTGAAGAAGCTAAATTATTCTAACTTATAATAAGTTGATAAGGACTTTTGTAGAAAAACATAAGTTGTTTCAAATAAGCAATCCCAAACATCCTTATAATCCAGCTTATAAGTTATAAGTCAACTTATTTTTTGAGTAAACGTTTAAAAAGATATAAATTATCTTATAAGTTAGCTTATTGCTAAACTACTTGTAATAGCTTACAGAGAGTTTTTTTGATACTTTTTTCAGTTATAATCAAGATTAACATTAATTATTATTATTAACATATAAATGAATATTAATTATTAATAAATATTAACTATTAAACTAGCTTATCAGCTAATTTACCAAACATAGCAAATAATATTAATTATTATTATTTGTAATATGTTACATACAAAATTAATGTGTGACAAAGTAAACTTCCATGTAGCATATATAAACGAACAATTTATCTACGCGAAAAAGAAGTTGCGATTGTAAATCCTTATCGTGATTTGTCACTTGCAAGTCGTTGTCGTAGTATGGTAACTCCCATGTACCTTCCAAGCATCAAAATGCTCGCTTGTGGATTAGTTCCCGGAGAGTTAAGTATAGTCGATCCATCAATAACTCGAAGGCCGTCCACGCCAAAAACCTTATATTCATGGTCGACGACCTTACCAATCTGACACCCACCATGATAATGCCATAGCGTCTTTACAGTGTCCTTGCAAAATTGTTCGAATGATGAACTTGTCTTTGCGTCTATCGGCAAGTTTGTTGGTAGTTTCGCGTTTAGGTCAAGAATATCTTGGGCTGTCATATTTCTATATTTGAACTTCGAGAATGCCTTTGATTCAACTGCTGTTAGGATGGTTTTAACTCCACCAACGCATTTTTGCAAGTCTTTAGGTTCTTTATAGTAGTTGAATGTCACGGATGGGTTGGCAGATGGATCTAGGTTTTGAAGCTTCAATTCTCCATGAGAGATCGGGCCGTTTATTTTCTCAAATATAAATCCACCCACCTACACGACAAACAAGCATCCGTCATTAAATTGTTCGTTTGATGCATCCTGTTATAAGTTAGCGTACGATTGTCAAATATGGCGTTAAGGTAAATATACCTCATAAGAAAACCCTTGGTAGTCTGAAGGACTTGCAAAGATAAAGTTAACGCTACTAGCTCCTTCGATGTAGCTTCCAAACCGAGTTATACCGACAACTTGAACACCTGATGGCTCGACAGGAATGGGAGAAGGGACGAAGATCGTACTTAGCGGGTTATCCGCCATGCCTTGACCAACAAAGGGGTGTTGATGCACGACTTTGATCTTATGGGCATCAAGTTGGTCTTTTGGACCAATGCCACTCAACATCAAAAGCTGTGGGCTCCCAAGAGAACCAGCAGACAGTATGATTTCATCCTTCTGGTCACCTTTTAGATATGCTCTATGCTTATTTCCTAATGAATCTTGAAATACCACTCCATAAGCTGTTGGCTTCGATTTCCCTGTAGTAGAAACATAAATGACCAGCCAGCTATAATGATTCTATGTTGACATAATATCTAGAGGGACGAAAAGACGACCAATGTTGAAATCTTAGAAAAAACTGGCCAATTAGATATATAGTTTTCTAGATTTTAATATTACTTGTTGGCCATGATGCTCTAGATACTTACCATTCGTCTTGAACAAGATTTTGTGAACAGTTGCATGTAGAAGAAGAGACAACCCTTTAGGGTTTGCATAACGTAGCAAATCTGCTGCAGTATGTCTCGTCCCATTTTGATCAAAAATGGTACCAGTAACTTTAGTTCCAATGATATGATCATAACTAAAACCATTATCTGGTGTTACCCCAGCTTCAATAAGTGCACCTCTCATCGCCGATTGCCACCTCCCCATCACCGGCTTAAAAACCATCACCTTTTCCACCCACCCGTAAGACTTACCGATCAAATCATCATCCATTAATCGCGCTTCGTTTTTGAACTTTCCTTCACCACGGGAGTAAATTCCTGCGTTAATTGCGGTACCACCACCCAAGACTTTTCCACGTACGTTTACAACGCCATCCTCTGAAACAAACCGCTGAGAGGGAGAATTAGGGGAGGAATCTCTAAAAGTTGAACCAAAGTTGCCAATTTCTGTGATGTTCGGATTGCCGTAGGGTGAGCCACCACGTTCTAGCAGTAGAACTGAGTAGCTTTCAGAGAGGGTGGTGGCGATTGGGATTCCGGCGGTGCCTCCACCAATGACTATGTAGTCGTAGAATGAAATCTTTGGTGCTTTTGTTGCTTCATGTATGAATGTATAGCTCGGAGCTGTATAGTAACACAGAGAGAGATTGAATGAAATCACAAGAAACATATAAATGAAGTGCCAACTACATATACATTGATACAGAAGATGCAATACGTACGTATTTCAGCGAGGCATGGCTCATGGAAGAAGAGAATGGTTACGAGAGCAGATATGACCATTCTCCATGACAAAAAGCCCATCCAAACAGTCGTTCAGCTTCAATATTTCTTGGGTTTGTGCGAAACCTATTCAAGAAAATCCAAAACACAACTTGTCGAATTCCGACAGATGCGTGTGGACTGGAATTCAGTAAACTGCTACCCAGAAAGTATCAACGATGGATTGTGAAAGTGATGCCTTTCTGGATATGATTTGTGTTTTGTGTGTCATTTATGAACTGAAATGCTTGTTATAGAGCTTTGAAAACTCAAATCAGTCAGATATGGCGGACAGAAACCGTGAACCACAAGTTCTCAGGAGGAAACTTCAAATGTTAATGTCAACCCAATAAATTCAACTTCAATTAATCATTAAAAATGAAATCACATATTATCCTGAAGAAATCTAAACCAAACATTTGACAAATGGTTCAATTAATCATTATAAAGAACAAAGAAGCGTTCATAGGTTGATTTCCATAGAAAAGATTGACTTGACCGCAGATATCTCGAAAACCAAATTGTACACCCATATTACACCGAGTCGACTGTCGAGTATGGTGCCGTTTACCAAACTTTTCCCAATAACTGTTATTCGATAAAATTTAATACTATTATTTACTTATCGGGTAAGATTTTAGTCCATCAAAACGACATCATATGCAACAATTTACCCGGTAAGCTTTTACCATGGTAAGAGTCGTCGCTCTCACTTACCGGGTAAGACTCTTGGTCCTTGTCTCGCTCTTACCGGGTAAAATTCTTGGTTCTTGTCATATTCATCCGGTGAGGTAATGTTACTTGGTAAACGCTTACTCGGGTAAACGTTTGGTAAACGGCCACTAACTATTCCATTTTGAATGATTAATTCTTTGATGTTTTTAATGAAAAAACCATTAAATTTTTTTCTTTTAGATGATCAAGTCCCGGAATTATTTTTTTGGATGGAAAACTATTAAACTTTCTCATTTTGAATGAAAAAACCATTAAACTTTTTTATTTTGAAAGATTAAATTCCTAGACATTTTTTCAGTAAATTAAACCATTTAACTTTTAGAATTTTGTTACTTACATCATTTTAATCCAAAAAAATCTACTTCTAAGTTACAACCGGTTATCTTTTGATTCCCCCTCCTATGATGGATTAAAAGCAGATCAAAAAGAGGGAGATCAATGGCAGAAGCCAACAACTTGTTCGGCGATATGAAGAACAAAGAACATTGGGGCAACGGAGACCGGCGACAAGGAGCGATACCGTTATTTGCGAGGGGTTTTGATGATGTAGGGTTTGGCCATGGTAAAACTGACTTAGGTTTGCTTTTACTTTAAAACATTCTTAATCAATTACAAGTAATTTTTTCGAAAAAAAATGTTGGTAACCAATTTTTAGAAGTTCGATCGTTTACTTATTCAATAATAGTTTTTAAAAACTTAATCATTTAATATGAGAAAATCTAATTTTTTCTCATTCAAAAAAGTAGTTCAGGAACTTAATCATTCAAAAATGAGAAAGTTTTAATGATTTTTTCTATCAAAAAATAGTCCTGAGATTTAATTATTCAAAATAAAATAATTCGTCGTATTTTTCTAAACTTTTCCCTTCTATAAAACTCCTACGATTTCATTTTCTTTTTTGTTATAGATCGGATACTTTGACCTAATTTTATTAACATTTCCCCTTTTAAGGCAGGGGTATTTTAATTATTTTTTTCGTATCATTAGTCTTTGTTTTAATGTACAAGAGTATACAAACCTAAAATTGTTGTGTAACTTTTGGCATAAACAACGTTCACTTATTAATTGAACCCGTTACTTAAAAATGCAATCTAATCACAAAATCCATTACATTGTTGTACTCGTCTTATATTCACGAGTACAAAAATATACGTCTTTTATATCTATCCCTTTCAAATTTGAATAGTATAACACTCCGTTGCATGCATCAGTGAACTTTAAACCTAATTAAACCGACTAAATCCTTTACAAACGTCTCATATCATCGAATTTTCTATAATTACGTTTATTTAATAACCAATAATTCCTGATACAAGGCATTACATGACATAGAATGAGTCCATGGTCATTGGTAAAATCTTGGAAAGTAAACTCTTTGAAGTCTTTACATCAATTTTTTTTCAAGTTTACTTGGTCATGGTTTACTTTTCTATCAACCATATAACACTCTTTTGGGTTCCCAAATATCTTTAAATACCTTCATTTTTTTTAATTTTTTTTACATCTCAAACACCAAAGAATCAATAAATCATCTACGTATTACTGAGTACCATATAATTTACCGCTCAGTAAAACTCACACGCTAAAAAGATGTTAACCTATGCATTATGGGGAACGGTCTTCGCAATTTTAGGCTTTCATGAGTTTTGTCGCAGCGAAATACGTACGTATTCTATACTGATGGTCAAGTTAATTTGTGATATATGTATGCATATAAATAGATGATCATTATTTCCACCGGTTATATTTCATTATGTTCTATATTATTTATTATATTTGTGTGATTTTTTTGTTACTCCATATTTCTTTTTTCGTTTTTTTTATTTTATTTAAAATTGATCGTTTTTTACATGATATGTAAAACATTTATGTTAACCAAATGGGTAGTGCCTGATTGGTTTGATCTTGGTCTCCAAAGGTCAAAAATGTCTCCAAAGTTCAAATCCAAGATGGAATAAAAATCCTCTTGTAACAATAGAAGTTGACTCCGGGCTACCCACAAAGCAGGTGGTCATCTTGAGATTAGTCCGCTCACATAGTAGGTTAGATAGATATAGTGGTTAATAAGAAAAATATTTATGTTTGAATCCCAATAATTGTTTTATTATTATGCTATTGTGTCCCAAATGATACCAAGTAGTAATGAAATATTGACTTTCGTGATGTTAAGCTTTTAAACCCTTTAATATATTATGATTATTATTTTAAGAGAAAGATAATTCGAAAAATAAACATTTTATTAAAAACGAGAAGTCTCAATATCTTATATAATTACATAGTCTCGATATCTTATATGATTACATTTTTGTGTGTGTGTTTAACCATATATGATTAAGTTTTTAGGTATTATAAATGTAACATGTGTTTAATCATATATGATATTGAAACTTCTCGCATTCTTTCGTAAAATGCATCTCAAACATTTAAATATCTGATTTACATCTTATAACATAAATTCTATTAAAATTCAAACGTATTTTAATCCAATTCCTATTTCGTGTAACGTATTTTGATATAAATGTTTGAGTTATCATACCAAAAATTTATTATTAACACGTTACAGAACCTTGTAATTTTATTCAAAATCTTTAATTCCTTTCTTATACAGCTCCGAACTACACCTTCATGCACGAAGCAACAATAGCTCCAAAGATTTCGTTCTACGACTACATAGTCATCGGCGGAGGCGCTGCCGGAATTCCAATCGCTGCCACCATCTCTGAAAACTACTCAGTTCTACTCCTTGAACGTGGTGGCTCACCTTACGGGAATCCCAACATCACCAACTTAGCCAACTTTGGCACCTACTTTTCCGACACCTCATCGGACTCCCCTTCTCAACAGTTTATTTCCGGCGACGGCGTTGTAAACGCACGGCCACGTGTCTTGGGTGGCGGTACTTCAATTAATGCAGGTTTCTATTCTCATGGTGAGGCAAGATTCATAAAAGAGGCTAAGCTAAAGGATGAGAAGTTGATCAACGAGTCGTACCGATGGGTGGAAAAGGTGATGGTTTTTGAGCCGGTTGTGACGAGGTGGCAGTCGGCGTTAGGAGGGGCGCTTGTCGAAGCCGGAGTGGCACCGGAAAATGGGTTTTCATATGATCACATCAAGGGGACTAAAGTAGGTGGTACCATTTTTGACCAAAATGGCCACCGGCATACTGCAGCGGATTTGCTACAGTATGCAAATCCCAAGGGGTTGTTTCTTTTTCTACACGCAACTGTTCACAAAATCTTGTTCAAAACCAAAGGTACATTTTTGAATTTAATTATATATTTAGGGGTTGTTTAACGGTTGCTGAATTGTTTTGTGCAGAATTATTAAATGGTCAGAATGATTAAGGGGCTCTCATAATATTGTGTAAAATGAAATATAATTGTTTGGTAATTGTTTACAATGAAATTAAGGCTCTTAATGGTTAAGGGAGGCCCATGATACAAAATCATTCAGAGAGTTTTAGAAACATTAAAAGACAGACATTTTTTTGTCAAACATGATTCACCTCTTAATGATTCAGAGATTGTCTCTTAATGAAACTATTAAGAGACAAATAAACAAACCCTGATGCTATCAATCGCTACAAAATGGTCCGAAAATCACTTATTTACACACATAATCGAGCTTTTAGTAACCGATCGAGTCACGGTCTAAACTCGAAACCTACTCACTTACCTTGAATTATAAGTAACGACAACGTTGCTCACGGTTCCCAAAATTACTTATTTTTATGTAATTAAAGGATTTTAGCATTTACTCATTTTCAAGAAATCTTGTTTACAGGAAGATCAAGACCAATGGCTTATGGAGTAGTCTATGAAGATGCATTGGGCATAAAACATAGGGCATACTTAAAAGGAGGACAAAACGATGAAATCATACTATCTGCCGGTGCCCTTGGAAGTCCACAACTTCTAATATTGAGCGGCATAGGTCCAAAGGACCAACTTCGTGCCCACAACATCAAGCGTGTGCTTCACAACCCTTTAATTGGTCAAGGTATGGCCGATAACCCGTTAAGCGCAATCTTCGTCCCTTCTCCGATCCTTGTCGAACCATCCTTGGTTCAGGTTGTTGGTGTTACTCGGTCCGGCAGCTATATTGAGGCAGCCGGGGGCATTAATTTGATTGGCGGAAGTCCTTCCGACTATCAGGGTTATTCCTTCAAGGTATTTTGTTTATTTATATCATCCATAATACAGTTTTTCTCTTTCTTTGCCTTTCACACGTTTTTCTTGAAGTACTTAAAAGGAACCAATCAATTAAGTGGTTGATAAATAAATCATATTCGAGTTGGTAACTCCAATGGTCAAGTCATCTTCAAGTTTTTTTCCAAACAACCATCGAAGATGCTCTAACAATCAACATCAAGCATTAATAAACGATACTCAAAAGCTACTTTTAGCGATGGATATTACTAAACTATCACCGTTACCAAGAGATCAATGATGACTTAGCGACAAGGATAATTCCCTTCGATAGCCTGTCGGAAAAAAAGTTAAATTATTTTATTTAACCGATTTTGAAATCCCTCGAAAATCCGTAGGTGATTTATGCATGGTAGCAACAGATTATGGACTAGTTTTTTCAGATTAGCTTTTACTTTTGACTTAGATTTTTTGAAATCCGTCGGTAAATATGTCGCTGATGTCCTCCCATCAACATTGTTTCCTACGGACTCATTCCGTCGTTAATCGTTGCTTTTCCGTCGGAAAAAAGTTAAAAGTATTTTCTTGTTTGTATATTTTATTGATTTTAAAGTCCCACAATAATCTATTGGTAATTTATACATGTTACCTACGGATTATTGACTTCTTTTTATTTACATTAACTTAATTTAACTTAGATCTTTCTAAATCCGTCGCTAAATATCTAGCGACAGTTGCTGATAGATTTTTTGGTCTAGTAATTCCTATTTGTTACAGTTTACCGACATAAAACTAATGAAATTACCTCTCCTTTTGTTTGTAGATGGGCGGGTTCATATTCGAGAAAGTCAACGGCCCACACTCCATGGGCTATCTAAAGCTTCAAAATAGTAATCCAGCCGACAACCCATCAGTAACATTCAACTACTTTAAAGAGCCTAAAGACTTGCGAAAATGCGTTGACGGGATTAAAACCATCCTAACAACAATCAAATCAAAAGCATTCTCGAAATTCAAATACGCAAATATGACGGTCCAAGATATTCTCGACCTTAACGTGAAAATGCCGACCAACTTGCCAGTACATGCCAATACGAGCTCATCACTAGAACAATACTGTAAAGACACTGTAAAGACGATATGGCATTATCATGGAGGGTGTCAGATGGACAAGGTAGTCGACGACGAGTATAAGATTCATGGTGTAGATGCACTTCGAGTCATTGATGGATCAACTTTAACCAACTCTCCTGGAACGAATCCTCAAGCGAGCATTTTAATGCTTGGAAGGTATCGAAAACCGAAAGATTTGACAAGTGATTTTTTTAACATTAACATATTGTCACTATATAATGATGATGATTTGGTTTTTATTTGTTGCAGGTACATGGGAGTTACCATACTAAAAAAAAGACTTGCAAGTGACAAATCGAAATGATTTTCAAAACTGTAGTTCTTCCTTCGCTAAACTGTCAGCAAAAATAGCAGTTTTAGTAGTGAAATGTTATTCRATGATTTATGTAAACTATTCAGTTTTCTTTTTTCATTATTGATGTAAAATGGCAATTCAATAATTACTTGTGCCGAAAGGCCCAAACTGATGAACATTCAAAATCGCTTTCTTAGCTTTATGCAAAATAGGCGATAGTGTCGTATTTATATCTGTTGGTCCCGTAAAGGTCTACAAGAAGAGAAACAGTTTGTAGAAGGGGGGGATGAATACAAACACAGTATTTTCAAATTTAAAATATATATTGATAGAGAAGATCAATACAGATTTTACAAGATTGTTTGCGGAAAGATAAGGTAATAAAAACCTATCTAAACAATTTTTGGTTACACACAAAGCTTTAGCAATTACAAGAAAAGAAGTTGCTAAAAGAAATATCCTTTACTCAAGCTAGAAGATGTTTGAAGTAAGAGTTAGGTTAGAGAGAGAGATGCGCGCTCTCTGCATGGAGAAGAAACACTTCTATTTATACCCAGTGCATTAAATGTCCATTTAATGCAATATGGTAGGTTTAGAGTGCGTGTCAAGCCTTAAGAGGAAGGCTTGTCATTTGCTACAGTGAATAATACATAAGCACACTATTTATGAGCAGACATCCTTTCCTAAAATTGGTGGACAAAGAGTCGACTAATCGGCTCCGTACCGTACTAACTTCTGTAAGGGTATGGGTTTTGTTCTTTGTGTGCATAAGGACAAGACAACAACAATCATGCTAAGCAAGCTTCCTTTGAACGCTGAATGCTGGAATGACCTGAAGGTCTCATCATCATTCCCTGAAGCTTGAGCAGTCTTCATACATGTGTAGACATGCTTGTTATCACTGAATACCGCTTCAGATCACGTACTCGCCGATCYYTAATCTTCAGTTTYAGTCTTCGACGTTTGCTGAAGGTTCTTTGGTGTGAGTGTTGTCTTCTTGAAGTATTGCTGTCTCTGATAGATTTACAATGCAAGTTCTTCAGCGATCTCTGAACATACTTAGTGAATATCGTTGGAACTGAAAATACAGAAACACAAATACAACGTGAAAGATAAAAGGGATTATCATCAAATCACTGTGAGAGAGGATCAACAATCTCCCCCTATTTGATGATAACAAGATAGCATAAAGAAGGTTATCTTATCAAATAATAGTAAGAAAAAAGTTACATATAAAATACATGTTCCTTTTTACTATTTTGGGATCTTTTTCAGTTTGGTCAGTCTCAGCTTGATAATTTTTTTCTTAAGTTATATCCAAGAAAATTACAAGTACGGAAACTGAAAGCTTATTCACTAAGGTAGATTGTCAGTGAATGTGAAAAGTAACACTGGAACTCATAGACTTGTATCCCTATTACTTTTTTCAGGGATCTTTTTCAGTGAAGTACATGAAATACTCATTTTATTAATCATAGAAAATAATACAAGTATTACAGTACATGTTCAGAACTTACAGAATGTAAGAACAATCAATGAAAGAAGACATAGTACAAGAATTTACAAGAAAAAGTAGATTGTTGTTACAAAGAGAACCTTATTCTAGAACATTTAGATCTATGTAATCAGGTATATTTTCACCAAGGTTTCTTCGACGTAGGAATTCCCTTCGTATCTTCAGATCTACGACTTTTCCAGGTATGCTACCATCCATCCAGAGCAAAAGATAAACCAAATGATCCATTGGATATAGATGTAGCTCTGACATTCTCTGAAATCTGACTTCACCTTCATAGTCAAGGAATATAACTCCTAACTCAGGTTTAGAATGCACAGAGTTGGGTGTATAGGGACCCTTATCTGGCAAGTCAAGATTCAGNAAGAGACAAAAGTACCAAACTTGAGCATGGACCTGTCTACAACACATTCTTCCTGATCATAGGAAAATCCTAGACCAGTCGTTATCTTGGCGGGGATCTGAGCGTTAATAATCTCAGAGGCCTTGATGGAAGTTTTGCACCACACTTCAATGGTAGCTTTCTCGGCCTTGAGTTCAGCGATTGCTCGCTCACGCTCACGATAACCTTCTCACGTTCAACAATTATAGTTTGATTTACAATAACCTGATCTTTAAGATTTTCCTCAACAGAGGTCAATTCTTTGATCTTAGAATGGCAAATGTTCAATTGCTCTTGAAGATCAACGTTAAGCATCTTAGCTTTCGATTTGCCATTGAGGGCATTGTAAAGGTCAACCGTCAAAGTATCTAGTGCAGAAAGACTAGAAGAAGAAGAGGGTTCATTCAGGAAGCATACCTGAGTAGAAGAAGAAGATGGCTCAGAGGAGGTAGATGCTTCAGAAGATCCTTCATCAGCATCAATGACCATCAAGCAGACGTAGGCTTTATCCTCTTCATCAGAACATGATTCATCAGATGATTCAGCCCAGTCATGCTCTTCAGCAATAAGGCCTTTAGCCTTTCACTAGATGTTCTTCATCTTCTTGTATTTCTCCTTCAGTTTTAAATATTTATCATCTTTGATCCTGAAGGAGGAAGGAGCTTTAGAAGATGGCATCACAGTCTTCTTTGATCTGCATTCACCTGCAAAGTGTCCAGGCCGGTGACAGTTGTAGCAGACAGCTGAAGCCTTGTCTATTCTTTCAGACTTTGGCTTCTCCCTGAGGGATAGCTGAGGAGACCTGTGGAAGTTGCTCTTACTGACAAACCTCCTAAAAGACTTAGTCAAGAGTGCCAGGGACTCATCAAAATATATTAAATCAGATTCTGGAACGTCCTCAGAAGAATCTATCTCCGTGATGACCACAAGAGGTAGAGAAGAAATAAAAGGGGTAGTAGAAGTTTCAACTGAAGAAGTTTCAGAGATCAAAGCTAGATAAGAGCTTTTTATTTCCCTGGATTCTCTTACATGATTCCTTTTCAGTTGACGAGATTGCTCATGGTTAAGCAGAATCCCGTATAAGGTAGAAAAAGAAAAAGTTGACATGTCATTTGACATCTTGAGACACATGGAAAAGGTGTCCCAAGACTCAGGAAGGCATTCTAGAAACTTAGTCAAAGTTTCAGAATTAGAATATTCCCTGCCGACAGCCCTAAGGTCAATAAGAAGGCAGTTAAATCT